ATGCACCAAAATGCCTCTGACCCTATTTTATAGTGAGGTACCTTGGAGGGTGTTTTCAATTCTATAGAGGTTCAGGGGTACCCTCCAAGTGAAAATATCCGTGAATAGGGATCAAGGGTTAGAGGCCTAATTCCCAGGGGGATGAACAGCTACTCTATATTGATATTTATATACAACTTATATAGTATTGGTTTCATCCAAATTGTCTTGTATATGAAAATACCTAAAACGCCTCAAACTGCAGGTGCGGCCAGTACAGCTTACAGATGTGTCCCATGGCTCGTGGGAACATCCCAGGTGGGCACGACAAGCTAAAGCCGCTGGTGGCAAAGGGGCGGAGGTGTGGAGCAAGAGTTCTCGGCCAAATTGAGGACACGATTCGGGCTCAATCTATCCCGACATCCCACTGGTGAACTTGTCCAATATCTCCTTTGCCAGCCACTCTGGTTGAACATGTTCCACAAGTTGTGTGCAATTTGAGGATGTTTGACCGAATTCACGTCGGCGCTAGAAATCACCGTTGTGTTTGTGTAGAAACCTGTGCTTTTGGAAGTTTTGTGGGCATGTAAGTGCTTTGTTTGTGGGAATCTACAATCTACACATGATCAAGTATCCTGCCAGGTTCTCACAGAGGAAGGTTTTACTATGTTTTACGAAGCAATCGTAGGTCGTTTTGACTCCCAGGGGGTTTCATTGGAAATCGGTCGCAGTGAGTCGGACACGGCTGTGGGTCACATGAGAAGCCCAGGACACCCTGGTGACAACTGGCTGTGGTCGAACATGAAGCGAAATAGACCAAGGATGAAGCTAATAGACCGCTGTTTGAAGCTACTTATAAGGAGGACCCCAAGGAGGATGACCGAATTGACCACTGGCTGTTTGTTGAACCTAAAGGACCCTTCAAGGTCAACATGAGCCAAACGGGTGAGTTCGGGGGCGGCCGCGAGTTCCGGCCGCCTCCGGGCTTCACGCCGCGAGGGAGCGCAGGCAGAACGCATCACTTGGCCCAGTTGGACAAGAACTTGACATGTGAGAACCATTTCCGAAAAAACTCGTCAAGGACTTGAGAAAAAATTATTCCGAACATCAATAGGACACATGCCCTAGGGATCCACATACCGTCACATACCTTCTGAGGTACGGTGAGGGGTTGGAGACACTGTTATTGTGGGTGCGGTTTGTCGGGTCCAGTCGTACCGAACCTGAGAAATCCCAAAGGGTGGTAGGCGAACTTCTGTTCTCAGGAAGACCAAGAACAGAGGGTGGTAGACCAAAAGGGTGGCGTAGGGTAAGAGAGCCTTAGAACAAAAGGGAGGCCTTCTGAAATTGGAGACCAACAGCTTGCGAGTGAGTTCAGCGCGTCAGTCAGACACAGTCGTTCGACAGAGACGGGGCGGACCCAGCCCGTCCTATGGAGTTTCACACTCGGGATGGTGAGACCCAAACGTCCCACACCGCGCCTGTCGCATCGCGCCTGTCGCACGCATCTCGGTCGGCGCCAGGCGGCCCCACCGGTGAATCCCCTCCACAGCCAGGGCCTCATGGAAGATGTCGCTGTTTTCTCGCCGATAACGCATGCGTGTGCGCATGCGCGGGAGGGTGGGTTTTGAGCAGTTTGGCTGTTGTATTTGTTTGGATCAGGAGGAATCACAGGATCACTTGCAGTAAGCAATTATATAGTCGGTCTGACGCTGGTCAATGGGGTTGAAACTACTAATGTAGACTCTTGATTAATGAACCCCCCATATGAAGAGGATGGTCATTTCAATTGGGAGGATGTATATGTATAATATATATCTATTATATTAATCAATAGCCTACATTATCATATCATCCCATGTTTGCCACCTCCACTGAGGCAAGACTGTGCACTTGCCAATGCCTTCCACGTACGCCGCGGGCGGTGGTCTTGGGGTTCGGCATGGCCTGACAGAGGTCTATCATGCTCGTAGTAGCCTGGTAGGAGAAGGCAAAAGGTGATTTACACCGAAGACTACTCTAGAGGCTTTTGTGAAATGCCAATCTGCCACCAGAGTCCAGGAAGTCATGCGTTAACGTGTTTCTTGTGTGGTAACATGTTGACTTTCTTCAACGCAAAACGGGGTCAATCCATCTTGGCACAAGATGTGGTGATTTCAGCACAGGGCTTCAATCCTAAGAATTCTTTGCAAGGCCACGGAATTGTTTGAGCTCTATTTAGCTTCCATCGAGTGAACACCATGGGCAAGGTATTCCTTGGGATATTTCTCTTAAAAAGGCGTTGATTTGTTGCAACACAGTAGTCACTCTCAGTCCTTGTTCCTTGTTTGTACTCCTCATGTGATTTTGGATCAACATTTCCCGCTGAAAAGGGTACTGGATCCCTAGGGTCAGTGGAGTATCAACCTAAACCTTCCTGCAGTTCCGTTCGGGAATCGTTTGGTCTCTGTGCAACCTGGAAGCACTCACCCAACGCGACAAAACACAAAGTTCTGCGAGAAAGGGAGAGAGAGAGAGAGAGAGCTCATCACCGAATTCCCAAACCATCCGACTGGCACTGGGAATATCGTCCCATCACTACATGTCCCATCGTGAAACCATCGTGAAACCCATCTTTTACCATAACCGATTCGATCATAGATCCATGGGACTGGAATAGTTGCCTCACATTGCATAACTCATTATATACCTGGTTCTTCAAAGTGACCGAACTTGATCTCCCAGTTTGAGGTCACGTGGGACGTGGGCCTGTAAAAGGTCACTGGCACTCCAAAGAGGTCACGAACTGAAGAAGCTGGTAGTTACTATCTACCATTAAACCTCTACCCCATGTTCCCACCAACCCATTCGAGTGGGTGCCGCGTTTCCGCAGACGGCCCCGTCGCCTCGGTCGCGACTTAAGGAAGGAGATGACGGAGGCCCAGCGACAGGCGGATGAGGCGTCTGGTGGGGGGTCCGGTGTGTTATGTGTGTTGTGTGTGTTGTGTTGTGTGTGTGTGTGTGGGTGTGTGTCCCAGCCTCTTTCTAAGAAACCTTCAGAACAGGATTCTAATGCAGCGGTGTCAACTCTGTGTTGTGTGTGTGTGTGTGTCAACTCCTGTCTCTTGAAGGACGGACTGATCTAGCTCTCGTGAGCATGGATTGGGATCTAAGCGTGTATGTTTTTTTTTTCACGGGGACGGAGAAGGAGTGGAGAACATCCGGTGGAGGGCCCAGCAACATCCGATGAGTTTGGATGATTTTTTTTGTTTGGAATCCATGATAATCACTGTTTTTTTTTTGATAGGACGTACATTTGCAAAAAACCTCCAGTTTGATAGGACGAACGAGAGGCGAGATAGAACGTGTTTGATGTCGCTTGCTCATGTGCATTGTGTTTTTCCTTTCACTTTGGCTGCCAAGCAGATCGACCGAGGATCCCAACGTGCCCTCAGGTGCCTCAAACCTCAAACTGGGAGGCATTTTCGACCGATTCTGTTGTCAAGCGAACCTACTGCCGATGCTGTGGAAGCAACAGACGGTCGAAGTTGAAAGCTTTAGGAAGACCTTTGCCACAGGCCCTGGCATAGAAAAGTCTGCCGGCCCAGGCAGGTCAGACGGTCCCAAGGTCCGAAGAAGTCTTCTAGGTGATTCGCCATGAGTCGAGAGGTGAAGAAGGCAATCTGGAAAAAACCTTTGTCATTCCGGTGGAAAAACCCTGATTCCCAAGGTCGACAAAGACACTGGCGACCTGCCAGGTGTTATTCCAGATAGGTGATTCCAAAGCCTTTGTCGTTTGTGAGACCTTTGGGGCTGGCGCTGCTGATTCCGGTCTCACATGGTTTCCACCACCCACACTCAGCTCACCAGACCGGTCGGTGATGCATCAGACGCTTCACCTTCCGTCCTTCACATCGTTCTTCCATCCTTCCGTCCTGTTCTCTCCGCTCAAAGACGCGTCAGTCGGTTGGACCGGGTCAAAACGATCGGAGAACGCGGGGGGAGAAAAAGCCACATCGACCACCCATGGGGCCAATTGTTCCATGGAGGGACTTCAGAACTTTGGAGTGCTGAAAGAGCAGACGTTTTGACCGAAAGAGTCGCACAAAAACACTTATCTGAAATCTAGGTGTATAGAGAATGTGACATGAAGATGACCTTGGGGGCTCCCTGATAGATGAATAATTAATGAATATTACTGTACTTGGGTCTGTCCCAGGAAACCTCTAACATCCTCTAACAGTCAGTAAACAATTGTCACATACTATCACAGTTTATTGAACAAGGCCTTTATTTCATCATCCACTGGGCCCTGGTAATGGGATATACCCAAGGAAGAGTCACATTTACGCCATGAAAATGACCCAACAAATTAAAAAAAACTTTTCTAGTCCCATTGAGTGTGCGTTGTAATTAGTGGTGACTTTCATGTGGGCTAGCTTATGCATTGGAGTACAAAACGCATCAAAACGCACTCTGATAAAGATGGAACAAGTCCACCTCTACTGGTAATGGGATATACGAAAGGCATGGCTGGGTCATAATCCCTGGTCATGAGTACTGGGATACCCAATAGCTTTGACCAGGAATATCATGTCTCCATCTTCATACCTGGTATATCTGCGAATTATGACCATCCCAGGATAAATTCTTGTGGTTTCCCCCCCCGTATCAGATGGTGAGTCGGATGCCTTTCAGCCTCGTGAGCCGCATCTGTCAGCCTCCGAGACTCCGATACTCGCCCTGGTGAGCCGAGTCCCATCCCAGGCCTCCACTGCTTTCCCCGGCCTCGCAGCGCCTCGACTTCCGCACGGTCAGGAGGAGAAGCGAGCCCGGGAGGCAGCCAAGGAGGCTGATGTGCACCTCAAAAGGCGGGGAGACGAGGGTCCCGGGTCGGTGTTCTGTTCGTTTTTTACAGTCGGCAAGTCGATATGTCAACATATGTCAACTCTGCCAAGGGTTTTGGATCGGTTTGGATCGGTCTGGTGCTCTTATGTTCTTGTTGTTTTGGATTGTACAGCTTCTTTGCGTCTTAGATGTTGATTGCACTTTATCACGTTTGCAGTGGCAGTGTATCATCATGCTGCCGTCTTGCAAGGATGCCACAGGAAATAAGTTATCGGCCCAGATGACTGAGGATCTCGATCACTTTCAAAAGCGTTTTGCGATTGAACTATATGGCATCTTTTTTGTGTGCCACGACGTGGTTGAAGTAAGTTTGCCACCATGCGGGGCCATCACTGATGAGTCAGCGGGAGAGACAGGTGTGTTGAATACACGGGATGAGTCATCACTCGTCGCCAGACAGACTGAGATAATGCCGCTGCCGTCTTTTGTACCCTGATCAAATCGGCCAGTGGCTCTTCTTGAGTCGGAAAAACCAGAGGCACCCGTTTTGAGCTTGGACAAGAAAGAAATGCTTCCTGTCCAGTGATCAAGGCATACACTTCCTCAACATATCATGGGAAACACTATATAATCAGGAAACAACGAGACAGACCGGTTGGAACAGTTTTCCGATTAACTATTACTTTTTGTTTATATGATGAGCGATTGCTGTATGAAAACCCTGATTTAAGATATATGTTTCATGTGATGGGGAAGATTATGTTGACTAAGGGATGCTGATGATTATTGGACGTCGGTTTCCACCGGGAATTTGACGTGGGGCTTCAAGATACTCATCCCAGTCTAAATCCAGTTTCCACTTATAACTTATAACACAAATAACCAATGGATAGAAGAACCAGAGGATTTGGTGTCACACGAACTAGTCTACCTGGGAAATCCACGTAATTCTGGTTGAAATCCTATTCTAAAGGAACCATCCACAACAGTCGACACGTGGAGACCCTCTTTGGAACCATTTTGAAGCACCAGTCAGACGTGGAATCGAGCTCAACTACGTAGTAACGAACTACCTTGGCCCACTCAGCAGTGGTTTCTGGACAATCCCGTACCATGCCATCAAAACAAGAATCAATGACAAGATTAAACCCGTATACACCCCTGCCGAGAAAACCCTAAACCCATTTTTTGGACCACTCAAAAACAGATCGTTCTGTTTGCGCACCGGTGACCATGGCAACGGCGCACTCGCTCCAGGGCCGAGCACGCGGCGGCCGTGGCCAACAAAGCGGATGGCCCGGTGCGAGAGAAGGCGGGACATCGGACCGACCGACGAGCACCCACCGGAGGGTGTGGACCGGAGGGTGAAATCGAAGAATTAGAAAACACCTGGTTTAATGGTTGAAATATCAAAGTGCATGGTTTCTAAGTACGTCTTGAACCAGGATAGGAAGCGCATGTTTTCTACAAGTAAGTCTTGAAGCAGGATAGGAACATCAAATACCATCAATCATGTTTAAAGGTTAGAATCTCAGTTGGGCAAAATGGTGTGTTTGATGCTTTAGTCATGCCGCTGGTGACTTCAACATGTTGATAGCAGCTATGTAGGCAAGCAACTACACATGATCACGAGCAACTTCTTGCGGCGACTGTGGCAGGAAGAACAGGTCACTTCGTCCGAAGCAGTGTTCAATCCCAGACCATCCATGGGATTGGAACCCTTCCTGTACTTGCTTTAGGGTTATAAATACAGAAGGGGTGGCCATGGGGCCTGGGTTTTGGTTTTCCATAAATGTTCATAAATATTAGGTAAATGCATCAGTGCCACAATCAAAACCAAAAAACACTGATAAATATGCATAAAGGATAAAAAACAAAAAAAGAACTAAAAAAGCCTTAAGAAAACAAAAAACACAAAAGAACAATTCTGGGAGACTTTTGGCTGGACCCCCCAAAATCAGAAGAATCAGAAAACCAAAAAAACCTTGGGAAAACCAAAAAAAACTAAAAAACAAAAAAAACAATTCTCAGAGACTCTTGGCTGGACCCCCTTGTCCTCAAGACTTCCCCAGAATTGTTTTTTTGGTTTTTTAGTTTTTTTTGTTTTCCCAACGTTTTTTTGGTTTTCTGATTCTTCTGATTTTGGGGGGTCCAAGCAAGAGTCTCTCAGAATG